ACGGTTTATGGTATTAATTCCAGGAAGATAATTACGTAGTTTACCCGTCACGGTTTAAAGTGTAAATCCAGGAGGAGAATTACGTTGTTCACCCGTCATGGTTTATGGTATTAATTCCAGGAGGATATCTACGTAGCGGTTTATGGTGTTAAATCCAGGAGGATATCTACGTAGATCACCCGTCACGGTTTATGGTGTTAAATTCAGGAGGATATCTACGTAGTTCACCCGACACGGTTTATGGTGTTAAATCCAGGAGGATTCCTACGTAATTTACCCATCACGGTTTATGGTGGTCACTACTCATGGTTTATGGTGTTAAATCCAGGAGGATATCTACGTAGTTGACCCGTCACGGTTTATGGTGTAAATCCCGGAGGATACCTACCTAGTTCACCCGTCACGGTTTATGGTGTAAATCCCGGAGGATATCTACGTAGTTCACCCGTCACGGTTTATTGTAAGTCCAGGAGGATAATTACGTAGTTTACCCGTCACGGTTAAAAGTGTAAATCCAGGAGGAGAATTACGTTGTTCACCCGTCATGGTTTATGGTATTAATTCCAGGAGGATATCTACGTAGCGGTTTATGGTGTTAAATCCAGGAGGATATCTACGTAGTTCGCCCGTCACGGTTTATGGTGTAAATCCTGGAGGATACCTACGTAGTTCACCCATAACGGTTTATGGTGTAAATCCAGGAGGATACCTACGTAGTTCACCCGTCACGGTTTATGGTGTTAAGCCAGGAGGATAATTACGTAGTTCAGATATCTACGTAGTTCACCCGTCACGGCTTATGGTGTAAATCCAGGAGGATACCTGCGTAGTTCACCCGTCACGGTTTATGGTGGTAAATCCAGGAGGATAACTACATAGTTCACCCGTCACGGTTTATGGTGTAAGTCCAGGAGGATAATTACGTAGTTTACCCGTTACGGTTTATGGTGGTAAATCCAGGAGGATATCTACGTAGTTCACCCGACACGGTTTATGGTGTTAAATCCAGGAGGATATCTACGTAGTTCACACGTCACGGTTTATGGTGTAAATCCTGGAGGATACCTACGTAGTTCACCCATCAAGGTTTATGGTGTAAATCCAGGAGGATATCTACGTAGTAGATAATTACGTAGTTTACCCGTCACGGTTAAAAGTGTAAATCCAGGAGGAGAATTACGTTGTTCACCCGTCATGGGGTATGGTATTAATTCCAGGAGGATATCTACGTAGCGGTTTATGGTGTTAAATCCAGGAGGATTCCTACGTAATTTACCCATCACGGTTTATGGTGGTCACTACTCATGGTTTATGGTGTTAAATCCAGGAGGATACCTACATAGTTCACCCGTCATGGTTTATGGTGTTAAATCCAGTAGGATATCTACGTAGTTCACCCGTCACGGTTTATGGTGTAAATCCTGGAGGATACCTACGTAGTTCACCCATCACGGTTTATGGTGTAAATCCAGGAGGATACCTACGTAGTTCACCCGTCACGGTTTATGGTGTTAAATCCAGGAGGATTCCTACGCAATTCACCCATCACGGTTTATGGTGTTAAATCCAGGAGGATTCCTACGTAATTTACCCATCACGGTTTATGGTGGTCACTACAGGAGGATACTTACGTAGTTCACCCGTCACGGTTTATGGTGTTAAGCCAGGAGGATAATTACGTAGTTCACCCGTCACGTTTTATGGTGTTAAATCCAGGAGGATACTTACGTAGTTCACCCGTCACGGTTTATGGTGTTAATTCCAGGAGGATGATTACGTAGTTTACCCGTCACGGTTTAAAGTGTAAATCCAGGAGGATAATTACGTAGTTCACTCGTCATGGTTTATGGTATTAATTCCAGGAGGATATCTACGTAGTTCACCCGTCACGTTTTATGGGGATAAATCCTGGAGGATTCTTACGTAGTTTTCCCGTCACGGTTTATGGTGTTAATCCAGGAGGATCACCTGTGACGGTTTATGGTGTTAAATCCAGGAGGATATCTACGTAGTTCTTAAATCCAGGTGGATTCCTACGTAATTCACCCATCACGGTTTATGGTGGTCACTACAGGAGGATACCTACGTAATTCTCCCGTCACGGTTTATGGTGTTAACTCCAGGAGGATACCTACGTAGCTCACCCGTCACGGTTTATGATGGTAAATCCAGGAGGATATCTACGTAGTTCTCCCGTCACGTTTTATGGTGATAAATCCTGGAGGATTCTTACGTAGTTTTCCCGTCACGGTTTATGGTGTTAATCCAGGAGGATCACCTGTCACGGTTTATGGTGTTAAATCCAGGAGGATATCTAAGTAGTTCACCCGTCACGGTTTATGGTATTAATTCCAGGAAGATAATTACGTAGTTTTCCCGTCACGGGTTATGGTGAGGATATCTACGTAATTTACCCGTCACGGTTTATGGAGTTAATCCAGGAGGATCACCCGTCACGGTTTATAGTATTAATTCCAGGAAGATAATTACGTAGTTTTCCCGTCACGGTTTGTGGTGTTAATCCAGGAGGATCCCCTGTCACGGTTTATGGTGTAAAATCCAGAAGGATATCTACATAGTTCACCCGTCACGGGTTATGGTGGTAAATCCAGAAGGGTATCTACGTAGTTCACCGGTCACGGTTTATGGTATTAATTCCAGGAGGATATCTACGTAGTTCACCCGTCACGGTTTATGGTGGTAAATCCAGAAGGATATCTACGTAGTTCACCCGTCACGGGTTATGGTGGTAAATCCAGGAGGATACTTACGTAGTTCACCCGTCACGGTTTATGGTGTTAATGCCGGGAGGATACCTACGTAGTTCACCCGTCACGGTTAATGGTGTTAAATCCAGGAGGATACCTACGTAGTTCACCCGTCACGGTTTATGGTGTAAATCCAGGAGGATATCTACGTAGTTCACCCGTCACGGTTTATGGTGGTAAATCCAGAAGGATATCTACGTAGTTCCCCCGTCACGGGTTATGGTGGTAAATCCAGGAGGATACTTACGTAGTTCGCCCGTCATGGTTTATGGTGTTAAATCCAGTAGGATATCTACGTAGTTCGCCCGTCACGGTTTATGGTGTTAAATCCAGGAGGATACTTACGTAGTTCACCCGTCACGGTTTATGGTTTTAAATCCAGGAGGTTATCTGGTGTTAAATCCAGGACGATACTTACGTAGTTTACCCGTCACGGTTTATGGCGGTAAATCCAGGAGGATACTTACGTAGTTTACCCGTCACGGTTTATACTTACGTAGTTCACCTGTCACGGTTTATGGTGTTAAATAGTTCACCCGTCACGGTTTAGGGCGGTAAATCCAGCAGGATTCTTACGTAGTTCACCCGTCACGGGTTATGGCGGTAAATCCAGGAGGATACCTACGTAGTGCACCCGTCACGGTTTATGGTATTAATTCCGGGAGGATACCTACGTAGTTCACCCGTCACGGTTTATGGTTTTAAATCCAGGAGGATATCTGGTGTTAAATCCAGGACGACACTTACGTAGTTTACCCGTCACGGTTTATGGCGGTAAATCCAGGAGGATACTTACGTAGTTCACCCGTCACCTGTTATGGCATTAAATCCAGGAGGATAATTACGTAGTTCACCCGCCACGGTTTATGGCGGCAAATCCAGGAGGATACCTACGTAGTTCACCCGTCACGGTTGATGGTGTTAATCCAGGAGGATACCAACGTAATTCACCCGTCACCTGTTATGGTATTAAATCCAGGAGGATACTTACGTAGTTCACCCGTCACCTGTTATGGTATTAAATCCAGGAGGATAATTACGTAGTTCACCCGTCACGGTTTATGGCGGTAAATCCAGGAGGATACCTACGTAGTTCACCCGTCACGGTTTATGGTGTTAATCCAGGAGGATACCAACGTAATTCACCCGTCACCTGTTATGGTATTAAATCCAGGAGGATAATTACGTAGTTCACCCGTCACAGTTTATGGCGGTAAATCCAGGAGGATACCTACGTAGTTCACCCGTCACGGTTTATGGTGTAAATCCATGAAAACAACGTATCTGTTACGGTAGACATAGCATTATGATAGTGAGAAATCAGCTCCTGATGATGACCGTGCGATTTTCCTTCCATGAACACTCAGGAAATCCAGAAATAAACAACATCTAGACGCGAAAGAAAAAAGGTGATATAGTAATTTGGTGCTGATATGGAAAATCAGTAAAATAGCTACCCCCCAGTAATTAACACGACACTGTTTGTTGATAGTGAGTCTTATCTAAATAAATTCTACCGGGTTTAATTATCTTGACTTGTTATCTTTAATTATTACTTTTACACAAAACTGAGTTGATGGCCATATTCATATGTACAACGATCGTTATGCTCATCGTGCTATATTTATCAGGGGAAACCTTTCCTCTGTATGAATATGAGTATTAATTTATAAGACACTACATTACAATGTGGTTGTCACGGGAGTGATATATCCATATATGTATATAGTCTTTGAAGACCTCATTTACTCTGTCCCTCTAAATGAACACCCTTTCCACAATGCAACTTATATTGCGTCGGCAACAAATTGAATTACTAATTACTAATGAAGTTTGGAGTGACTAATGATTAATGAATATACAAAGAAGGTTCACGTTTACCAATGCCTTGTAAACTCACTCTGACAAAAATCATATTACAGAAACAACATTCTATTTTACTATCTCAAAACAAAATAATCACATCATTTTATTTATTAGATTAGTCTTATCCCCTTCACATTATCATTAATATATTTTTGTAAGGACTAGCAACATGTACTAATAAATGAATAACGATTACATTTCGTTAATTCCTTATTGAAGCTATACTTTGAACAAGCGAGATGAACATACGAGGTACGGTGATATATCACCGAGATGTCACCTCGTGATTTCCCTGCCGTATGTAAATTAGATCCTTAACCAGCCAGTCAGATCACCGTCAGGGTGTGATGTAAGGTAATTAAGACAATTGTTAGCCTACCTGTCCGTCGCCTTTTCACTTTCGTCGTACGTTCTGCTGTGTTAAGACGTCCCCGCGGGTCGTCACCGGAGAGATGTACACCCAAGTCCTCCTCATTCTTATTCTGTGCGTCGGATATGCATACCCAATATTTCCCCCCAAAAGGCAGCATCAGGGCCGGCATCAGGGCCGGCACCAGGCCCGGCATCAGGCCCTGCCACAGATCCGGCCTCGCGCCCGGCCTCACGCCCGGCCGCAGGCCCGCCCCCACGCCCGGCCACATGCCCGGCCTCAGGTCCGAGGTCAGGTCACGAATCTATGTAAGGATATAGTAGGCCAGAAGTTCCTCAGCCATCCCTCCGACTGTAACAAATACATACTGTGTATCGGCACCACGCTTCACAACCTCAACTGTGGTACCCAGGTCTGGAATAACACTATTGGCACATGTGTCAATAAAAACACGATTACAGGCCCCGACCCTTGCCAGAACCGTAAGTACAAATATTTTATTATAATAAGTTAATTATTTTTCGACCTTCTGACAAATTTCGCTTAGTTTCACTGATTATTCTATAAGACAAATTCCATCTATTTAGCAACACCCATCATAAGACATGCATTTTACCCACATTTTCAAACGAATCAGCCAATTGCCATAAGAGACAGGTTCCAGTTGATTGTCATGATTATTAAGTATTAGTATATTTCACTCTTGTCTTGAATCGGAAATGGATAAAAAAAATAGAAATAGAGCGATTTATAACGAAATGGTATTACGTCAATTCATAAAAAACTAAACGTTATATTTTTTCATTTTTTGCACTTTCGTATAAAACCAGTAGCGTGCGGGTGAAAGTTGTTTGTCTAAATGTTGGTTCTACATCAGCTAATTACCATACGCAAATGGTAACCCGAATGTTTTTAAATATAAGTCTTGCAAGTTTTTTTAATTTGATTTTACTGATTGTGTTAATAAAAAGTTCAAAATTTTCATTTTGACATTGAGAAAAGTTACCGTAAGCTATACTGACCTCCCATCCCTACGCATGTCCTAAAACTTTACGCTCACTTTTACATAGCACCCGCCCAGTCACCATCATCTAAAACTTAATTAATAATACAATAGCAAAGTTTATAACAGTAAAACCAACGTATATAGTATGGTATTTCGGGAAAGACGGTTAAATACGTTTTATTTGACAAGACATATACATTTTTCATAGTATCTGTATTGTATCTGGTCAACTGAAAATCTGCAATTTCTTGGAGAAGTTTTATACTAGCGATATTACGGATACATCTAATTAACAACTGGGAGAAACTAGCCACGTATTACATATACATTAACTAGCCGTGCAGTATCAATTTCTTCACTATGATCTCAAACGCTTTATTTGTATGTATAATACTTAGTAATGATGATTATTAAGTTGACAATCAAGTGTGATAACTATACTAAGTAATTTACAATATTTTAGCTATATGAAGTAATGATGGTTATTAAGTTGATAATATAATATTTTAGCTTTATGAAGTAATGATGATGATAAAGTTGACAATACAGTTAAAAAACTAATCTGGTAATAAAATCATCTTTGCCACTATTTACCACATCAACAACTGTTGAAGATGACATATATTGTTAAACGCATCAAACTGCCTTTTAGGTGACATGTATAGCAGTATAATGTTCCCGTAACGTCTCCACCAGCGACTTGTATGTAAATATATTGAAATTAGGCTCATTTCCTCTTGTATCTCATTATCCGACGTTAACTGTGTAACGCTAATTACTCACCATGCCAATCACGACAGCAGCTCGTACAGCGGATGGCTGCCGACAAAACGGAGGCCTTTCTTAGACGTCATATTGACAATAGAAAGTGAGAGAAATGGTCTGCTCGACCATGATGCAACTAAATTAACTGATGTACTTCAGTTAGAGAACTATGTCGGAATACCAACTAAAGGCACCAACTAGAGAATATCGAATGACTAACCGACCTGTATAAGGGTACCAACTAGAGACTACCGAATGTCTAACCGACCTGTATAAGGGTACCAAAGTGACAAATGCCCTAATAAGTTAAGTGGAAGGAGACAACTTCACTTCGATTACATCAACATCTAAAACCACCTCAACACCTTTAAGTCCAGCTTCTTCCTGAACATCGTCACTGATGTGAATGGACCACCAGCAGAGATCGTCGAGCAGTTGACTGGACTGTAGATACATTGGATATATCGCTCCACAGTCTCTTCGTGATGTCATATTGTAGATCATGAACACATTTCTAACAAGATGTTAACTATCTGTATGGAAGCCATGCTACACACTTCTAACAATATAAGATGTTAACTATCTGTATGGAAGCCATGCTACACACTTCTAACAATATAAGATGTTAACTATCTGTATGGAAGCCATGCTACACACTTCTAACAATATAAGATGTTAACTATCTGTATGGAAGCCATGCTACACACTTCTAACAATATAAGATGTTAACTATCTGTATGGAAGCCATGCTACACACTTCTAACAATATAAGATGTTAACTATCTGTATGGAAGCCATGCTACACACTTCTAACAATATAAGATGTTAACTATCTGTATGGAAGCCATGCTACACACTTCTAACAATATAAGATGTTAACTATCTGTATGGAAGCCATGCTACACACTTCTAACAATATAAGATGTTAACTATCTGTATGGAAGCCATGCTACACACTTCTAACAATATAAGATGTTAACTATCTGTATGGAAGCCATGCTACACACTTCTAACAATATAAGATGTTAACTATCTGTATGGAAGCCATGCTACACACTTCTAACAATATAAGATGTTAACTATCTGTATGGAAGCCATGCTACACACTTCTAACAATATAAGATGTTAACTATCTGTATGGAAGCCATGCTACACACTTCTAACAATATAAGATGTTAACTATCTGTATGGAAGCCATGCTACACAAGTTATCTGAAAGTAAATTTTGTTCGAAGAACTTCGTCTTTAGATATGAAAGCCACAAATTACACGCCTTACACTGATCTGTTGATATTTCCTGCCATCAACCTGTCAATGTAAGAATAAAAGTAAATGAAAGTTCATGTGAAGACTCGTATATAAAGGTTGCAAGAGGCTTCTTAATCCATGCCTTCGGCGTTGGTGCACAGAGGAAATAATATGCACCTAAAACAAAAACTTGAACAAAAGGTAAAACAACATCGCCTACAAGTGACCTCGGTGAAACATTACGTTGCATATACTGTTTATACATATATAAATGCTATTATATTTATATCTAAAACATCATGATAAAGGCCCTGCATTACAGTATTTAATATAGTTTTAGAGTCGAACTAAAGGTATGCTATTGCTTTGTTTGCTCAATAATTGAATTAAACATATTCGTTTTTAAACAGCTAAGAGATGGGGTCCGCCACAGATCTATGCCTCCCCACCCCGTAACATGAGAGGAGGAATAAGAGCGCCTTGGAGATTCGCCAAGCCCGTGTGCCCTGCTAGGTCAAAAAGGAGGATCGCCCACCCAGACAAATGTGCCCAGTACTACGACTGTGGTTCCGACCGTAAGGAAGACTGGTGGGGGACCAACCTCAGGGAGTGTCCTTACCCCCTCCTCTTTAACGTCCGACGAAGCGTGTGTGATCATTACGATAACGTCAGATGTGGCCGCAGGCGAATCCCTCTCGACCCCTGTAAGTACACGTTTTGATAAAGTGGACTAGGTAACATTTCTAAAAATGTGCATATTAAATGTGCTGAAAGCATATCGTATTCTTTGAAAGGATACACGTTAAGTGTTATTGATCAGATTAAAAATCTTAATAAAAAATGGCGGAAAACGCTCGGATGAAATATAATCAGGCATATACCTCTTTCACTGAACGATGTTGAACCTTGAATGACATATGGTTTCGTAGGTTTTCCTATATATCAGAAATCAAATGCCATATTACATTTTGAAATAAAGAAACATCTCTATGAATCTCATACTTATTGCAAAATTGAAGTTTCCTTTTATGAAATAAGTACAATAAAAACCTCGTTATACTGCCACCATTTGTCCAGAAAATAATGGCGTTATAAAGGAGTTACGCAGTAAAATCAGGGACCTTGAAATATGTGATTAATGAGGTGGCAAATTAAGTAAGGGGCATTATATCGAGGTTTTACTGTACATAAAGGGAGGTACGGGCAATATATCGAGGTTTTACTGTACATGTGCTTTTCAACAGATCTGCTCTCACATTTCTCTCTTCTGTCTTTGGTTGTGAGTACAAACATACTTACATCTACATGTACATGATCCAGGCAATCAGCAGAACTAAGTCTAAATACTACCTGTGTTGATGATAGCTTAGTTAATGACTCATTAAACAGTGTTCTGTTTATAATATATACGCAAACCTGTCCTTCCGTTCGGGGATGGAAAGCTACAGCCTCTCAAAACGTTTGAGAAATTCAGACATGTATGTACGCAAGCCATTGGCCATACTTCCATAATTTGTGCGATGTGAGCGTGCATGCTGGAGGTTGTATGAGTGTTCTGTTTGGTATTTCAACTAAAATAAACTATTTAAAGTAAAATAAGCAGTCAAAACGCATAGAGACATTTTGCCCAATTACACTCTAATATTGCAGGCAATCAGGGGAAGAGTTACATGTTTATCAATTCCGCCCCTTAGTGGATGTTAAAAATAGGTCATAAAGATGACTCAGCTGGTGGCCCTCTTCATCTCTGTTCTTCGAATCCCCTTCCCTCCTAACCCTGATAGATTCTCCCCTGACTAACCAGTTGTTAAGCACTTTCGAGATGTTCCAGTCAGCGATGTGGTTGTGTGTGTTAGCATGCTCTGTAACGGCTGATTTATTGTAATGTCTCTCCGATGTCATCCTTGTGTTCTAGTATATGATGTGGTTGTACGTGTAAGCATGCTCTGTAACGGCTGATTTATTGTATTGTCTCTCCGATGTCTTCCTTGTGTTCTAGTGTAGACTTGCTGTTTCATTGCTTCAACGTCTTTCTGATGTTCTTTTAGGCGTGTCCCGAATTTCTGGCAATTTCTGACAGCAGACTTTACCGATTCGGCATACTGTGGCTTAGTGAGGTTGTTTTCAGCGGTTCAGAGTCGAGACACCAGTCTTTTACACCCTTCGCTTGACAAAGGAAACTTTTTCAAAAGCTTGCAAAATAAGTTTTCAATTCCTGTTTGTGTTCAAAACAATCTTAGCCTTTACGATTTCGTACTGTAGAGACTAAAGGACGACTAACTGTTATATGTGGTACATAATATAAGAAATATTTAATTCATGACATAAAATAACATGCATACTTTATGCATTGAATTCCAATATGAAAACTTATTCAGGAAATTTCATTTTTCCTGTTCAATTAAAATATATTTTTATTCATATCAGCCCGGTGGAATTCTTAATTTTGAGACATAATTGGCTGAGCTGAGCATACAAGAGATTTGAGTTCAGTACCACCCAATACCCCCAAGGATATTATGTCATAAGGAACACGCTTTATAACGTGCACAATATAGCCCTATACACGTATCAGAGTGTGTAGAGTGTCAGCAACATTACTCCAAGGTTCGATATTCTACGATGACGGGATGAAGCAGTGGCCACGAACAAGTCACTTTATCCTTGCTGCTCAACACACGAGTCGAGAGTAAAACATACTATGATTTGGATTAAGCATGATTTAGTGTTGTATTACACTGTGATGGAGATGTAATTACGATCTTATAACTAGCAGAACACATACACAACATCCGGGATACACGAAGGCTAATACCAAAGGTACAGCAGTGTTTGTACTCCTCACACGAAGGCGTATACCAAAGGTACAGCAGTGTTTGTACTCCTCCCACGAAGGCTAATAACAAAGGTACAGCAGTGTTTGTACTCCTCATTCCACCATTCTACCCTAGGATGGAAGGACGGATTGGCGGAGATACTCTAATAAAAACACTGGTCAATGAATCCTGAGTCATTAATCCTAATAAACTCTAATGATACAGATGAAAATAATTTGCACTCGTGGTGCAGATTTATCAACAATGGCGCAGTATACAAAAGTGTACCGCTATTACATTTCATTCAAAATGACGAGGATGTTAACAGCACCGCTAATTTTCACAAAAGGAGACATTATGGCCTGTGTTATGTTGTTATCCACACTTCATTTTGTATTCTCCTTATGAATATGTAAATGTAATTGTTTAACAATCTTAGTATAATACTACTATTCGTCACATGATTGATTCGAGAAATGCTTATGGATATTTTCTATGAATATAAAACGTGCATCCACCGCACATATTAACATTCTGACACAGCACATACTTAGGGATTACTTTGCATAACTGTAACTATGTATCATCTACCGACATACAGTATGTTTATTATCTGTGTCCATAAGCTAGCTCAAAGTTTATACATAAGCACTCAGTTATGATATTCATACTTTTTACATTTTACAACAATTGTGAAACATGTTTTCTTACTGATATAAATCAGTCTCGTTGGCCCGGATGGAAGGGTGCAGAAACCAGAGTACCCGGCGAAAATCTACGTGGTTGGGCAGGTGATAAAATACCTTTTCACGTCCGGTCAGGGAATCGAACCCCGGCTGCCTTTGTGAAAGGCGAGTGTGCTTTCCACTGCATTAACCGATCACCCTAGGTTTAGATATTCATTAGAAAATGGTAGCTGATATTTCATAAATACACTTAAAGTAGTCGCTAGAAATTCGAAGGAAGCATCTATCAAAAAAAACGCAAGTTGAAGCAGAAAGCCAAACAAGTAGAGGTGATGAAGAAAAAGCAAACAAAGAACAAAATAAATGTGCACCATATAGCTATTTTCGTTTATTTCGCAATAGACTAATTGGTGGTAGGACGAGAAGGTATGACCGCTACTAAGAAAGTAGATCTATACAAACTTCATTTATCATACAACACTTAGGAAACAAGTTATTTACATTAACCACTAAGGGTTGTTGATTCAATATATAACCTATTTAAATTTAAAGCTATTACATAACATGAACCGCGAGAGGGAAAATACCAAGATATGTAGGCTGCGACTAACCTTTGGGACTGATGTATTTCCAGTGGAGTCAACGACCTTGTGACGTAAATTGGTCACTTGAAAAACAAAGTTAGGAAACACCTTTTGAATAACTTAAAACCCGACGCAGAGCCGAACTAAGTTAACATTGCATGCAAATTATGACTATTTCTTAAAGTAATTAATGGATTAAGGATGTTTCTATTCACTGTTTAAATAATGTCGGGCTTCAAAAGGTCAAACCAATATCTTATGTATTAAAACATATTGACTAATTCATTTACACAACTGAATTATCATACCTTTAAGTTCACATGGAGATTAATTAAGAAACAGCATGTGCTTGTCATGTGATTCATAATGTGTTAGCTCGAGGAATTAATTGGCGCCAATTAAAAGAATTAGAATTAAAAGCTGTCTTGGGCCTAAACTATTCCTGTCTAATGCGGTATATTACTTCACCCCTGGCCGACAGTTTGATATATTGCTACTAATATGACACTAGAGGAAAATGTCGACACACACAGCGAAAGTTATATACATATATGTATATTATAAAAAGGTTAATTTAACATGGATATAACATAGCTTTTCACTTTATATTCAATTAGGAAGATAAGTGTATGATGATATTGAATGAGTTTAACACCAGTATACTTACCTTAGCTATATACATCTTTACACTCATACTTTGTTATCATTGAAAGGTTAAACAAACTACTGAACATGGTGTTAGGGCACGTCCCGTCTATAACGTTCGTAAGGACAATGTTTGTCCTGTTTGTTCCGCCCGATGTCAGCATGATTGATAGAACCAATGATATAAACACGTCAGCTACAACTTTTTGTTTCAGACTTGTCAAATTATAAATGGAAATATCTTATGTTTCAATTTTCATATATAATTGCGCCACGGTGGAAACAGAAATACTTAACTGATTGATTTATGTAATTACCAGTGAATATAAGTAGTTAATACCTCTTTACTTAGACGCTATATGCCCTGGAGCAATCACTTATCTCATAAAAATTGATACGAATAGTTTGAGAAGCGATCAAAAAATCAAGTTTGAACATTTCAAATGAGTGATATATTATATATCCTTTCTAACCCCTCGGGGTTTCCCTGCATGGGGGGG